GAGGGGGGGAGAGCGCACTTTCGTTCCAGCTGCCTTACAACATTTCTCTTGTCAGACCTTGAACTGTAATATGAGGCCCTGACAGAGGCAAAATGAAGCAGAAGCCATGCTTGGCAGAACTAAGGCCAAAAGTTTGCAGCCAGCGATTACAACACTCAGTGGCACTAATCCAAATCCCCTCACACTCACTGGAATGAAGCAAACTCTGTTCCTGCAGATAAAGCCTGACCTGACTGCTATGGCGTGCCCAGCTCTTTAAATTGTGGAATCCCTTCAGAGCACCCTGAGACATGGGATGGATTGCCTCAACATCCAACAGGAATGATTATGTTAAACCTGCTTTAAGTGGTGGAGCGCAGAACATAATAGCAAGGATCAAGTGTACAGCTGCCAACAGGCAAAATGCAATGGAAGAACTGGGAGAAATGTTTATTCCACTGCACTCCTCTAGTTCACTAAAATGTGTAAACTACTACAAGTTCCCTTGCCACATTCACTAGCTTGATGTGGTCTCTCCTCCAGGGTAGACAGTCCCACAGGTTTTGTTCTTATAAAAACACCTTGCATCCCCCCTTGTCTTAATGTTTTGTTAAAATGAACCCTTTGGTATCTCATTATAACTGGACCTCTCACCATATTAGAGCAAATTTGTATTTCTCTTCAGCTGGGCTGTTCACATGCTGGGTAACAGGGTGGGATTCGCTAGTTCCTCCAGTTTGCTCACTGGTGTTTGGTTTTCTCCTCTGACTTTAAAATGTTCTTGTCTAAATCCCTGAATAACAAAGGTGTAGCCGCTCCCATAAACATGTGCCCATGTACCCCAAGCTAAACTTTGCATTATCAGGAGCCAGAAGTTCACACAGGGTTCCTAGCACATTCTTTGACTCCACCATATGTTGAATTGCCCATTACTGGAAGGAACCACAGGTGGAAGAGAAAAGCCCCTGGGAATCAACAGGGAAAACACATCTCCTTGCAGGGCTGGGTCCTTGAGGAAACAAAGACAGTGTGCAAGTGTATGCAGGCACTCCAGATCACACCTAAATATTTTGAATGGCTCTTGATAGATGCATGATGCAGAACAGGTCTGGATGGCATTCACAAAGAGACTATAAAGCCATGCTGAGTGACTTGTCAGGTTATATGCACCCAGGCACCAACTGGCATGTCGCTCTGACGGATTCTCCGCTGCTTTAGCTCCAGTGACTCCGTTAGTGTTTTCCATCCAGACTGAATGAAAGCTTCTCTCTGCCCTTTTCCAGCCCTCCCATTCCTCCTACACAGGAAACACACCCAAGGTGTAGCCAGGGATTGACCCTTTCCTTTGATCCTTATCCTTGGCTGATGTAGCAGGCTCTAAAAGTTGGTTTAGCAGCTATAAGTCAAAAGCAGTTACACCGGGACCCACAGAGGCCTACACTACACCCATGGGCAGATCCAGGATTTTTAAAAGGGGGAGGAGGGTGCAGGGTGCAGTATTGCTCCCTGTTCCCAGTCTCCTTCCCCTCTCTCTCCCTCCATCAGGGCAAGCAGACCACACCATGGAAGCAGCAGGTAGGGACTTTTTTTTTTTTTTTTTTTTAAGTCCCTGAATCACGTGAGAATTCCCCACCCTGCTCAGCACCCCAGTCAGCTCTCAGTTTGAAAATGGCTAAACCCCTCCCCTCCATTCCTCACCCTGTCTACTCACACCTGAAAATGGAGTGCAACCTCACCACTGTATCCCTTTTGGATCCACCCCTGAGTACTCCTGGGATTGATGGAAACCCAGCATGCCCGCCAGTTATGCCAGATGCCAAGCCAAAGTGTCAGAGCCCCGTATCCAGTATTCAGCTCAAGCATACTAGCCCTTTTTGTCCCACTTCAATACAAACAGTTGATTTTTTTCAGATGTTTCTGTAGAACAGGATTTGTTATTTGTTTGTTGGTTTGGTTTTCCCAGCTATAGCTATAAGGCATCTCCTACTGGCATAGCTGTTGAAACTGTGTATTACCATCTTGGTAAAAAAGAAAAGTGAAACTGCTGCCTTGTACAAAATGCACTTTTAGACCAAACATGAGAAAGGCCTCATGAAGATTTAGCCCAGTCACAGTTCCCTAGCTGCCATGTTATGCTGTGGGAAACAGCCTCCCATGGATGTGTGTGTGTGTGTGACCAGAGGCATTTTATGACATGCAACAAAACAGACTCCAGACAAGAAATCCCTGCAAAGGATAAGTAACATGACAGCAAATAGATCCCTCTATTCAAGTTTTCTCTTCTCCAGCCACTATGCAGCTAAGGCAACTCCACACAGTGGGTAGTAGAGGAAGTTAAATATACGCACATGACATTTGCAGAAGATAGTAAAGGACTGCGGATTAATGCAAAAGGGCCTATCCACACAGAACTTAGGAACACAGGCAAGAAGGAGAAAAATGAAGTTCATGCGGGAATGTAAATACAAACCAGTGGAAAATACGCACAGTGCTGAGAGAGAAAGCAAGAAGCAGACATGCTAGCAACAGGGCTCCGACACATGGGTGCATGGAGGGAGTGAGAGTAGCCTTCTTAAAAGCTCTGCCTAGGTGAGTCACCAAGAGATAGCTCATGGTAGATTTGGGCTGTCATTCAGTATACAGCCATGTGTACTTCTTGGGTCCACTGGCCTCCTTGAGCTTGGCTGCCCCTCAGCTGAACCACAGTGGGCCCAAGGGCTCTGCCAAGTCGTTGGGTTTAGATCAGGACAAAAATCAGTGATGTCAACTCCCAGATGTTTCTGGCCTGTGGCACCAAAATGAAGCAGCACCTACAGTCAGATGTAGAGATGCATGATCCTCCCACTCCTTTCCTGCAGGAGCAATGGGATAGTTAACACTGCTGACATTTAAATTATCACCACTGGGCATCCCAAGTTAACACCTCCACGGCTTGTGAGAGGCAGTTCACACCTCTCAGAGCAAATGGCCCAGCGCCTCCACAGATCTACTTGCACACCCTATGTTCAATTCACATGGCTGAGGCTTTCTTCACAACTCTAACAGCTGGAGAGTTCATTTTTCTTTAAAAAAAAAAAAAAAAA